AGTGGTGCTGGATTAGGAGGTATGGGAAAAACTAACATTAATTTTATTAATTATGTCCACTGGTGTTTTTCTTCATACAGTTGTCTTTCCTAAAATTGAAATATTACTTGAAAAGAAAAGCTTTGATATTTCTTTGCTTTTAAATGCAATGAAATATGTATAGATTCTTTTAGCAAAATATGGATAGATGATCCACTGACAAGATAATGAGTATTTTGCTATTAACAACCATAACAGTTATCTGTTTTAAAACAAGTTTTCAATGAGAAAAAAGTTCGCACATACTCTTTCATCTGAATCCCAATGTATTGTGGTGAGATGGGAAATCCTGTGTACTCATTTCTGTCTTACAGCAGGTGAATGAGGTTTTCAAAAACTATACAACCTGTCCAAGGAGAAGGAACACAATCTCTCATAGTTTCTAAATCTGTGTTTCTGAAATGGTGAAAGAATAAGTATTCATAGTTTAAAGACAAAACCATTTATATTAACTTGTATAAAATATTTATATTTAATTTATTTTGAAATTACAAATATCATTCAGAGACATTAAAAATTTTATATCTATTAAAAGGGTCATGCTGTGGAGTTAGCAACATGGCATAGAGCATGCTTCACAAGTGCAAGGTCCTGAGTTGGATTCCCAGTAAAAAACAAACAAAAAGCAAATCAAAATAGAAAGGAGGAATAACTCATAAAACATTGATAAATACGTCAGATATTTTTCTGATATTTAAAAAAAATACTTAGGGGAAAATATTGTTACACAAAATTGGCAAAAAATCAAAATCTTACCCCATTCAAAATTTTAATGAACAGATTTTTAAAATAAGTCACTGCTATCAAAGAATTCATAGGTAAGTGGATGAAACTAGGGGCCATACAGATAAGTGAATTAAATCAGACCTACATGTGTAAATATTGTATTGTGTTCCTATTTTAAGAATCCAAAAGAAGAATTAAAACCTGAAAGGTATAACAAATATAGTACAACCAAAAGAAAAAGAATTTCAGGATTAAACAACAAAGATGAAAAAAAGGAGAAAAGATAGCCAAAAAAGTCAGGGTGGGGAGTAACACACAAATCTGTACACAGGATGGTTGAGGTGGTTGCACTAAAAATTTCATCTAATTTAATTTATTTATTTTTTTAAATTTTTTATACTTTTTTCCATAATTTTATTGAGGGACAAATAGCAATGGGATAGTTTCAAATCAAATTGGTATGACAGTTTCAATAATTAACACATTGCATGCTCTCTTCCTAGTGGTTATTTGCTGTACAAGATGCAGACATGATATCTTATTTACAAACACTATTAGAACAAATCCTTCTATTGAAAATAGCAGTTAATGTTTAGAATTTTCACCTTGACTAACTGTATGCTGATATCCGCAATCTGAGCAACTACTTTGAGGAGAACAATGTGTAATACAAAAACCATGCTTGAATACCTGTCATCTTGGTCTTCTAAATGTTTCTAATGTCATATCAATTATTCATATGCTCTCTTTAAAATAATTTTTTAAAAAGTTAAAAAAAGAAAAAAGAGAGATAACAAAAATTTAAGATTTCTTGAAAGCAAGTGGTTATATTCAATCAAATGTCCAATTTTACTTCTGCATATCTGCTAATTTGAGCAACAGATTTGATGATAAAAATAGGTAATATGTCAACTATTGTGAATCATTCTTGTTTTGAAAATCTATAACATATGTATTGTATATTACCCTTTTTTGTCATTTTTTTGTTCTTGCTTTTGTTTTTACTTTTCAAAATAAAACAAAATTAAAGTAAAAAAAACCAAAAAAGTCACTGTTTATAATATAAAACCATTGAGACATCATGATGAATAGCAACATTAACAATAGATGCAATTTAATTGGTATTTTGTGCCAGTACAATTCTGAAAGCTTGGCATATTTAATTCACTAATTATCCTTAGCAACTCTTATGAGGTAAGCATCATTAACAGTCCATTTTAGAGATATGAAAATTGAAGCACAGGCAGTCAGCATACTGTCACATAATCACATGGCTGGAAAGAAAAACAATTAAAAATATAGGATCTAAACTCAGGAAATCTGTTTTCAGAGCTACAATTCTCAACTGATCTAAAATGGGATTAAAATTACTCAGAAAGCTGCTGGATTTTGTTCTGCATATAGGTTAAATTATAACTATTAAAAAGCACTCTCTTATTAGTGTCACTATTTTAACAGTCATAATGATAGGCAGAAAATTAGCAATTAGGAAGCGAGAGACAGGTGGTTGGAGCTACTTGAAAAGCAAAGATGTGAGTTTTCTTCACATCTTTGCTCATTTTTTTTCTTGCAGAACCAGGGATTGAACTCAGGCCCTTGCACTTCCCAGGGAAGCACTTAATCTACAGAACCATCTCCCTGGCCCTTTGCACATTAACTATAGATAAAATCTTCCCAAGTTCATGGTTACTTAGAAAACAGTTTATTTCGTTAATGAGTAAAATATAGCTAGTTAGGTATAGGCCCAGACATAGAATTTACTGATGAGAAACACTGATACACATTAAAATAAGAATAAACAGTGAGCTAGCACTTTGGGACAAGATTAAACATTCTGAGGCAATATGGGTAGGAGCCGCATCCCAACTTAAAGGAATTTTTGCCATTCTCTAATGAGATTCTGAGTGCTGAGGAATTTTAAATGCAAAACAACTAGTTTGCTAAAATTTCTCCTCCCCCATTGAGCAATTCCTATTGTCTGTTTTATCTATAATTAGCTCTGGATCAAGGGACCACATAACTATCTACTTGGAGTCCATTCAATAAACTAAGGAGATATTCTTACTATTTTCAATAAATCTCTGATAACCTCCTTTTGTTCACCAATTAATTCCTTCATATTGTGAGAACTTAAAAGCTCAATACAGGCAATAACAGTTTGAAACTCTAGCACAAGGGATTGCAAGATCTTTTAAGTGTGCTGCTAAGGTCCAGGACCTATAAAATATTCAGGCTACTGGTGATGGGGCAGAAAAACCTCAAGTTCTCAAAACAAACTAAGTGGAGATATCTACCTAAGGAGGAAGCAAGAACCTATTTCTCTCTGTGAAGTAAGGAAGCATATTATGCTCTACTTGTACAAGAAAAGTAACATCATTATCAATCACCATAGGGATGATGTTTTATTCAGGGCTTAAAAGGGAAAGGGTTAAATGCAGTACACATAATTCATTGGATTATCTTTTTATTTTTAATTTTTATTTTCTTTTGGTGGAACCGGGGATTGAACTCAGGCCCTTGCACTTGCCAGGGAAGCACTTATTCTACTGAGCCATCTCCCTGGCCCCTCATTGGATTATTTTACAGTATTTATCTAAAATGTCAAATGCAAAAGAGTGTGGGAGATCTGTCCACACTCTACAGACCAAAAAATCTAGCTGACAGCCAGGATCACATGGCAGAGTCCTCTACAAGTCCAGTTGGAGACCTTAAGTCCATGGCAATGTCCTCCATGTGTCCAGTGGGAAGCCTAGAGCCCACAATAATGTCTCATGATAGTGTATCTTCACTAGAAAGGCCCAAAGTTTAATAGTGGAAGCTAGAAATTCTGCATCAGTGGGAAGAATGATCTGTGCTGTCATCAGGCTGAAGGATGTGCACTGGAGCCAGGAAGCAATGATATCATTAAGGATGAGAGCTTCCCAAAAAATAGTTGCAACCATTTTCATTGGCAGTGAGGCCTTGAGCTCCTCTGATGAGAAGAGCAGCTAAGTTCATATCAAGAAAACCAGCACAACAAGCTTTTTCAGGAGAATCAACAGCACACCATCTTCCCCACTATTTATCCTTATATGTTGTTGAAAAATAATCCTCAAGTGGGCTGTGGACGCACACCCAGAACCATGCTGATTCAGTTCAGTTGAGTGTTAGAAGATGGCCATTAATCAATCCACTACAGAGAAGAGGCAGAACCCTTACTGGACCCTTACTATTTTCCCATTAAAAACATGATTTGTGTTTTCCTCCTGGGACAGCTAGAGCTTTAAAAGTGAATTTTACTTGGGCCTATAAATGTTCAATAAGTAACTACAAGCAAAATGATGTCTTGCTTTCATATTGTATCTTTGTTGCAGTAAAACTGGTCAAGTCTTTTCATGTCTATGTATAGATAGGTTAATCATTTAGGCAATGTCTGTCTCAAAAAATAAAAATGGTAGGGCCAACCAAATAGCTCAGTGGGTTAAAGTGCCTGCAAGCAGATGCAGGGGCCAGGGTTCAATCAACTCCATCCCTGGGGAGTGCTGAGACAGCAATTGAAACTGGGCGTGTTGGCTCCTGCCTGTAATCCCAGCTCTTGGGAGACTGTAAACAGGCGGATCACTATGAGTTTGATCTAGTAGTGAGACCCTGAACACCCTGTAGATTCTTCCCTAAAATACAATAAATAAATAAATAAATAAATAAATAAATAAATAAATAAAATGGATAAAAAAGAAATGTTGACAGAACAAGGTTGTTTAGTCCTCAGTTTACATAATATCATGTATTTCAATATTGACATCACTGGGATAAGCAATTTCAAGGGACATCCGACTATACTTGAGAAGTCCCCAGCCCTTGTCATGAGCCTGTTTGCCCAAACCTGCAGTCACCAAGGGCAAAAACCACCCTCTCATTATGACTATTCTGGAACTATGTCAGCACTAAGATATTATGACAACAAGACTGAGATAATGACCAACCAGGGCCCAGGCTACCAGCTAATCCTTAAAAGCTGACCTTCTGTTTTGTAGTTGGGCCACTCTTGTAGGGAAACTTGTGGGACAGGCAGAGAATGTAAAGGCAATAGTTAGAATTGTGTCAAATAAAGAGTTAGGGGTGGTCTCCCAGTCCATTGTCTGTGGCCAGTGGGCAGGCGACTCCTGTCCCCAGTGGAGGTGGCGAAGCTGGAGCTGGGTGGGGGTGCAGTAGCTCTCTGACAGACCAGGGTAGTACCCGCAGCTCTTCACCAAAACAAGGAAACCAGCATCGGTCCAGTGGCTGTGATGGAAAAAGATTATTACAAGATTCTTGGGATCCCGTCATGGGCCAACAAAGATGAGATCAAGAAAGCATTTCGGAAGATGGCCTTGAAGTACCACCCAGACAAAAACAAAGAACCCAACTCGGAGCAGAAGTTTAAGGAGATAGCAGAGGCCTATGATGTGCTGAGTGACCCTAAAAAACGGAGCCTGTATGACCAGTACAGGGAAGAAGTCTTGAAGACTGCCGGTGGTTCTTCAGGTGGGTCCAGTGGCACTGTTCGCTACACCTTTCAAGGGGACCCTCATGCTACCTTTGCCTCCTTTTTTGGCAGCTCCAACCCTTTCAATATATTCTTTGCCAGAAGCCACTCCACTTGGCCCTTTGGTAACTTTGACCCAAATGACGTGGATGTGGATGAAGATGAGGACCCATTTGCCTATGCCCGCTTTGGCTTCAATGGGTTGAGTAGGGGTCCAAGGCGAGCCCCAGAACCACTGTACCACCGGCACAAAGTGCAGGACCCACCTGTAGTGCATGAGCTGTGGGTGTCCCTGGAGGAGATCTACCATGGCACTACCAAGCACATGAAGATTACAAGGCAGCGCCTCAACCCTGATGGGCGAACTGTGCACAACGAGGACAAAATCTTGCACATCGTTATCAGGCGTGGCTGGAAGGAAGGCACCAAGATCACCTTCCCGAAGGAGGGTGACGCCACACCTGACAACATACCTGCCGACATAGTCTTCGTGCTCAAGGACAAGCCCCACGCACTCTTCCGCCGGGATGGCACCAATGTGCTCTACAGTGTCCTAATTAGCCTCAAGGAGGTAGGGCCTGCTCGAGGGGGTGTGGGTGGTGTGTATGTGGTATGTGTGTTAGGGTGTTGGTGATGGGAAACAGTCTCTTCCTTCCTGGCACTCTTTTCCCATTTCAAAGGTTTTCCTCTCTTCCCACTCTGTCTAGCCTTTTCCTCACTCTATGCCTCTTTTTCCCCAGGCACTGTGTGGCTGCACCATAAACATTCCCACCATTGATGGCCGAGTGATCCCTTTGACCTACAATGATGTCATCAAGCCAGGCACCCTGAAGAGACTCCATGGAGAGGGTCTTCCCTTTCCCAAGCTCCCCACTCAGAGGGGAGACCTCATTGTGGAGTTTATAGTTCACTTCCCAGATAGATTAACACCACATACTCGACAGATTCTTAAGCAACACCTACCCTGTTCCTAGGCTCTGCTGCAGCTAGCCCAGAGCCTACCACAGCAATACCTCCACGTTCATCCCACCCAGTGCGCACCCAGCTTGACATCCACTGGACACTAACAACTTTTTCTCAAATGCAAAAAAAAATAATAAAGCCACTGGTTTTCTGGATAATATTCCTGTCTCTGACTTCTCTGACTCCTTTCAGAGCTGGGCTGCTTTGGGAATGGGAGGGAGGTTTAGAGAGTTAGCCCAGGCCAGGGGTCAATTTTCATGTCATTACCTTTGAATCCAATTTCCACTCCAGTGTCTGGGGAGTGAATTGGGTGCTACTTGAAGGTGTAGATCCCCTGTCTATGCCTGTAAATAGCATGTCCTTCTCATCATCCTTGTTAATACCTTTGCTCTCCCTTCCCTTTGGTTTCCTCCTAATTGGGGAAGAAAGAGGATATTAATGACACTGGCCTGCAAGCCCTACCCCAGGTCCACAGTGTCCAAGGTTATCGCACACATATCCATGCACATGAAGCACTCATCTAGAGCTGTGTGTGCTCTCTGGGAGACAAGATAGGTGAGGAAACAGGAAGGCAAAGTCTGCAATCCTCACACAGGGGCACCGAGCATGAGACACTTTTCACTTGGGGGAGAGAGATGAACTGACCCTCAGAAGTCTCCCCATCTGCTGCCCATCCTACACTCAACAGTTGGAGATTCTACCTTCCCTGCTGCTTTGAGGAATATTCAAGGATGGAGAAAAGGAGCAAGGGTCTGAGGCACTAAGGCTGAGGAGTGACAGGGCCCATCTCCAAGACAGCATCAAGAAGGGAAAGGGCTTTGGGGTCAGGTGGAAGTTATTCCCCAAGAGATTCAGGGTCACAGGTTTCTCCCTACACTGATCTCAGCACTTAGCCTCCCCAAACTTCCAAGTATCACTTTTGTGATGTGTGAAGCTATTTATTTCTTATCCTTCTTGGAGGCTGTGTAGGGAATTTCCAGTCACTAAGCTATATCCCCAGGAATGATAAGAATTCTTTTGACTGACTGGAATAACAGTAATGTCTAGATGCCTTGCCAAGGAATTATAATTGAAACTCCTATGAAAGCGGGTTGAAAAAAAATTAAGAAAACTAACATTTATTACATTTTCAATTTAGTTTCTCATTAGTGGCTTATTCAGATTTTGTACATCATCTTGACTCAGCTTTGGTATTTCATATGTATCTAGGAAACTGTCCATTTCCTCTGTGTTTTCCATCCTGTGAGAGTAAAGATTTTGGAAGTATGTATTGATGATCTTCTGAATTTCTCTAGGGTACAAATTTGTTTCACCTTTTTCATGCGTTATTGCATGAATGTGAAGTTTTTGTTTATTTTTTATTAGGTTAGCTAGGGGTTTATCAATTTTATATATTCTTTCAAGGATCCAACTCTTTGATTCATTTATTCTTTGTATTGCTTTCTTCATCTCTAGTGCATTAATTTCTGCTCTAATCTTTAAAATTTCCTGCCTTTTTGGGCTTTTGGCTTGACTTGCTCTTCTTTTTCTAGAAACTTGAAGTGCATCATAACATCATTTATTTTAGCTGGTTCTGTTTCCTTATGTGCAACTTTACTGCTATAAATTGTCCTCTTAAGACATCTTCTATTACGTGCCACAGATTTTGGTAAGTTGTATCTGCATTTTCGTTTGATTGTAACCATTTTTTAAAAAATTCTTCCATGACTCACTTTTTGTTTAGGAGGTTGTTTTTTAATTTCCATGTGTTTATGGTGTTTTTGTAGTTTTGTCAATAATTTCCACTTTTGTTGCACTTTGATGAGATAATATGCATGGGATGAATTCGACTTCTTTGCATTTACTTAAGAGGGCTCTATATGCTAGTATATAGTCTATTTCAGAAAATGTCCTGTGTGCAGCTGAGAAAACTGTGTATTATTGTTGTGTAAACACTCTATAAATGTCTACCGAGCTAAGTTCTTCTCAAGTTTGGTTGAGTTCTGCTATATCTTTGCTGATTTTTTGCCTAGTTGATCTATCTCTTTGTGACAGTGGTATGTTAAAGTCCGCCATCTCTATTATATTATTGTTTATGTGATTTTACATGTCTGTTAAAATTTGTCTTATGTAGGAGGGTGCTTCCATATTGGCTTCACATATGTTGATAATTGCTATCACTTCCCACTGCACTTTTTCCTTAACAAGAATGTAGTGACCATCATTATCCTTTGTAGGTGATCTGTTTCTTCTCTCTAGCAGCTTTTCTTTTTTTTTTTTTTTTTTCTGGAACCGGGGATTGAACTCAGACCCTTGCGCTTGCCAGGGAAGCACTTATTCCACTGAGCCATCTTCCCGGCCCCTCTAGCAGCTTTTCAACATTGTATTCTTTTCCTTCATTTCTGAGATCATGATTATTTTGTGTCTAGGTGTAGATTTATTCTAATTATGGCTATGTGGAATTCTATATGCCTTGCTTACTGTATGTCAGTTTGTTTTCTCAACATTTGCAAAATTTTGTGCGAATGGTCTTTTTATGTCCTTTGTGCTTTCTCCAGCTACTTCATGGACAAATACTATTTTTATATTATTTTTCTTTTCATCATCTTATAGCTGGTAAATTGTTATTTCCTGGACCCTTGTTAGTTTTAAGAGATCTTTTATTTCATGTTCATTAGCGGCAACACTGTGTTTGAGGTCTGAAAGTCTATCTTCAGTTTTATTGAAGCAGTTTTTGCCAGCATTTACTGGAGTTCCTAATTTCCTGGATATCTGTGTGAATCTTTTTTATGGATTGTAATTCTTTCCTGCATTAAAAATTTCAAACATTTTTCTATTTTCATCTATTTTTGTTTTTCTTTTTTATATATTTGGTACAGGGTCTCACTATACAGCTCAGACTTGTAGTGATCCTCCTGTTTCAACTTCCCCAGTACTGGGATTACAGTTGTGCCCACTCTTCTCTATTTTTCTATTTATGTCTTCTTTAGCCATATTAAGCAATTCCTTCACAATTGTTGTCCTTTCTTTTTGGACCTGATAGACTATTTCTGCTATTTCTTCTACAACCTGATGGACCTATTTCTTTACTTCAGTTGCTATCATATGAGAGATTTCAGGTATGTTATTAACAACTTCTTGTATGTCTTTGTCTCCTGGATTTGTTGTGAGTGGGCCAGAAGAATAAGATTGTGTTTTGTGCCTGCATTTTGGCATTTGTGAAGCTCACCATAATCACCCAGAAAGAATCCCACTGGCTTCTCAGAGTCTGCCAAAGTTCTTAAGTGGCTCCCTGAAAGCTCCATTCTTATGCACACTGGGCCCATAGACTGTCGTTCTCCTACATCTGCCAGACCACTCAGCATCTTCCTAAGTTCTGAAAAGTTTGGAATGGTGTCTTAAGTTACTTTCTAAGTTACTTTTTACTCTTTGCTGAGATAAATGCCCAGCACTCAAACTTAGGGAAGGAAAGGTTTATTTAGCTCACAGTTTGTGGAGGTTTCAGTTCGTACTCCACTGGTTCCAAGGCAAGTGACAGCAGTTCATGGTGGCAGAAAATAATGAAGAGCAGAGGAGGAGCAGCAGCTGTGGTTCCAAATCTTTCTCTCTTCTTTCTATGCTGACTGTGAATACTGGCATTCCACGACAAAGATTTGAGCTCCTCCAAAGTGGCACAACTGCAAAGTGGCATGATAAAGACTGGGACTTCTCCAAAGAAGCAGAGTGGAGAAGCCTTCCACAATTCCTTTATATACCCTTTTAGTGCTGAGTCACTCTGGGACAGGCCCTGCCACATCATGCTCTAGGGTGAGTCCAATCACACCTTAGGGCTGGCTTTTTCCAACCCTAGAACTAAATGAAGCTGATCCAGCCAAGCTTCTGACATCTCAAGATGACACAATATATCAACTACCACAAGCAGCACCAACAGAAGTTCCATGCTTGTGCACTAGGGGCTAAGGAAGGTCAGAGTTTACCAGAGTCCAGAAGGCTGCTCAGCATCCACCAACATTCTTAAATAATGCCAGGAAAGCTCTGTGCCTGCTTACACTGGGCCCACAGATTGTTGTTTTCACTCATCCTGTAGGCTACTCAGAGTCCTACGAAGTTCTTAAAAGTTTTAAAACTATCATTTATATAGAATTTTGGCACAGCATTTTGTTTTTTGTTTTTTGGGGTTTTTAAATTTTTTATGTCTTTTTTAAATTTAGGTTTTTTTTCATGCAACATACATTTTAATAGGCTCATTTATACACAGTTGAGTGGCATTCTGTGTAAAATATCTTGATTGTACAACAAACTTTCATTTTCATTTTTTTCCAACATATATTTGTTGTTTTACTTTCAGTAACTTATTTTCACCTTTTAATTTTTTACATTTCTTTTATCATTAGTATATGTTAGCCATGTACATAATAATTACATCTGCCTTGGGGAATGGTACATATCCCATCCTTTTTTCCCCATAATTTTATTGATAAACAAATAGCAATGAGACAGTTGCAAATCAAATCGGTAGGACAGTTTCAATAATTATCACACTGCATACATTCTTCCTAGTGGTTAATTGCTGTACAAGAATCATTCTATTCATTAAGAGAATGTAACTATATATCTATCAAAACCACTTTGAATAAACAGATACAATCATCTGTATACCGTTTTCTGTTAAGTTCCATTATTTGAATATTACAGGTGTGTAAACTCAGCAAAATATTCTAAAAGAGTCCAGTAGCCCTTAATAATATTGGATCTTCCACTTGACTGGCTATGTCAGAAATTGTTGACCTGAGTCCCCCACATCTCAACATAACAGCATGGCTTTACTTCTTATATTTCGTTTTTCTACTTTTCTGCTGGATGGCCAAGACCAAGGTAAAGCAGGACCTATGCAACAAGAGTTGTAACTTTTGGGTCTGATAAGGTCAGTGAAATCCCCTCAGAATTTATCCCAAGATCCTGCACCTCAGATTGTAGAAGCTTTGTCAGTATCAGCCATGTGGATGGCACAGCATTTTGAACTAAAGAAAAT